AAATAATAACAGTGTAATTGCCCAAACAGAGGATGTAATGGACAGAATGAGACGGATTGATGACATCAGCCTAATGTCATCTATGAAATATGGGTTAATTTATCGAGATTCACAACTAGAGGGACTAATTTACTAGTAAAAAAAGCTAAGGGGGTGATCATCAACCTAAAGTGGAGTAGAGGGACTAATTTGCATATTTTACCTTGATTATGTCAATATCTTTAAACAATTATTAAGAAGATTACCGTTATAGGCATGCCTTAAAAAATAAAAAATAAAATAAAAATGAAAAAGGTAAAAACATACTTAAAATTATATGGTTTTAACACTATAAAAAATGATTTAAATAGTTTCATTTATACTTTAAACATTAAGATGTTTTAGCTTTTTTATTAAAATTTATTAAAACAGCATAATTCAAATTAATACAATTTTCACCCTAATTTTTTACAAATAAAATTGATAAACATTTTTTTTTTATAAAAAATTAAAACCATTAAAATAACCTTAAAATACTTAATAACAATTCTTGAAACTCAAACTTAGGGAACATTAGCCCCCAACCTTTGGCACAATTTTATTTTGTAATCAATATCAGCTTCAAAACCGAAAGTTAAAAAAAAAAAAAAAATGGTAAGGTCGAGATTGGCACCCGTAGAAATGGTGCAGCCACGCTTACATACTATCTTAGACTGCCATGCATTGGGTGGAGTTTTTATAAAGAGTGCTTTATGTTGTAGGTCAGTATGATTGGATATCTGTTTTTGACGTTCAAAAAAAGAAAAAAAAAAAAATGGAAGTTCGGTTGGATGGCAGTGGGGGGGTGTTCTAGCGCACAGAGGAGCAAAGTCCGAGTTTGGCTCTCTGGTAGGTGATGGGTGGAGTGGCAGAAAGTCTCAATTGCTTGGCATGGTGGTGGACGGTTCTTTGGGAGGGTCCCTTGGGAAAGAGGGGAGGGAGGGTGGGAGGGCAAGTTGGGTGGCTTTGGTGGTTGGTACAGTGGAGGGATGTGGAAGGTTGTCTGTTTGTCCACTCGCCCCAACGCATTATTTTGCCATAGATGAACAACCATCATCACAAAGAAGAATTTAAAAACAATGCTACTAAAATCGATTTCTATATTAAGCTTCCAATAAACCTCCAAATAACTCTAGAATCCAGAGGCTAACAATATACTTACCCTATTTCTTGCAGTGTTAGCTCTTTATTCTTGATTTTCAATCGATTTGGTAAATTCTTAGATTGTAACAGTATAATTATTACTTAGCATATGAATTTATATGGGGATTAATTTTAACTCTTGAATAAAATAGATCAAATTTTAAGCCATTAAACTTAGTGCTAAAAATAAACCTTTATATTATATGGGGTTGAAAAAGATAATTTTGAATAGAAATTTGTTCGTATGTCTATAATGACTTTTAAAATGAGAAATTCATAATATGACCTCTTTATTTATAAAATTAGTACATGCTGCACTGTGATGTGGGTTCGATGTGTATTATATTGGCATAATAACCAAACCATAATTATAAACAATGAAAATATGGGAAGTAGACTCTCAAGTGCTACATTCCATTGTCTTTCACCCTAATTCATCAAGTTTAATCTCGCAGTGCTCACTGAAGAGAGAAACTTTATACGAAGCACACTTTTCTCCAAACACACTGAAGGCTAAATAAACAAACATTTCGGCATTTTTCCTTAAAAGGTGCTGTAGTCTAGTTGCTACTCCTTGGGAGGATTAATGTTAGATGCTTTTCATTTTTTTACTTCTGTAATAAATTTGACTTAGCAGTAGTATTTTCTCCAAAATCCAGTTGTTAGCGAATTCTTTTCTTGCTTTTATTACAAAAATAGGTGGCACGGTACTGAACTCATTCATCAAAAATCCGACCATGCGAACAGGTAGTTTCTAGTCCCTAGTGTCAATTCGCTCTCTCCGCCTCTCATTGCCGTTCAGTACAACTTCGAAAAATAGGAAGAGGTGGAGAAACATCGAGGACGAGGAGAGAAGGCTGCTATTGGGTGGATAGATTTATGCGTTCAATTTGTGAGATTAAATTTATGGTCCAAAATGACCAAATTACATATCGACAAGAAGATCCAACAGTATTAATCACCAGTTTGGACACCTCTTATTACATAATTCCTGCAGATTCTAACACATTCTCCTTTAAAATTTACATTGTCGTGATATTCAAGACCAATTATTCTTTATGCAAAATGAAATAAAAGAAAACAAATACCCCCTCTACCTTAAAATAAAAAT